AAAATTTAATATTTCATTCACATTTAATTATAAAAATTTGATAAGTTACAATTATGATTTATAGCACGTTATTAAAATTTTTTATTTTTTTAAATTTCCTATATATTTTTTTGTATTCCTATATCGCAATCTAAAAATTTCGCTAAATGCACCGCCATTGCATTATAATTATATCATAATTTATTGCAGCTTAATAAAAAAAAATTTTTCTCTAAATTTTTTTCTTTTACTTTGTTTTTTAATTAAATTTTTAAAAAGTTTTTAATATTTTATATTGTTTCCTTCCATTTTACAAATTTTTCTCCAACGCACCGCCGCAACGCGATGGGAGTGTCGTCGACCTTCTACGCTTTTCTTTGGTTGGCCACTTGCTTTGCTGGCCACAATATCGTCATTTCTCATTTGTCCAACACAATCGCGGCTATATTTCATAACACATTGCTACTTTCCTCTGTGTAAATATTTATCTACACACATGTATGTATGGGGATGTGTCATTTTTCATGGCAGCGCCTGCGCTTATGTTTTACCACTGATTCACTGATAAGGCTACTAATATGCATATTTTGTAGTTTTTTCTTTGTCTTCACCTGCAAATATGTTTCTTGTGCCCTAATGTTCGGCTAATTTGTCATTTTGACGGCTTGCCATATGCGAAGCATACGAATGACCGCCAAGAAAGCCTGCCTGTCAACAGCAAAGAAAATATGCTTTCTTAGTGCACCTTAATGAAGGAGCTGAAAAGTTGACCAGTTTATACTTCAAACTTTTTAATTGCCGCTAATTGTTTTCATATATTTTAGTTGCGCCCTCTAAAGTTGATTTATTTTTGTGCAAGATTTTGGCAGCGCGATATTTTTCATTTCCTTGCACTTTATTTACATTGTGACGCACTGGATAATAAATGTTTTGTTTCAACTCATCAAACGTGAGTTGGATTTGTACGATAACAAAGTTCGCACTTGATAAAATTAAATTTTAATTATTATTGCTTTAAGTTTAAACAGTATTTTGCTAATTATGCAGTTTGCTTTATTTGCAGATTTTGTGGAACTAAAAATGTTTTTAAGTAAAGTATGGTGAGTGTTAGTATCTGAACTATATAAATTATTAAGTATTTGAAACATTTAAAAAAATTAAACTAAACGGATCAACTTTTTTAGAATACCGATAGGAATCCTTGGTCAACTATCGCATATTAGTTGAGATTAGAAGACTATGAGTAATCACTACATTTGGTAAAAATTTTCAAAACATCCCTATATTTGTGAGACATTGTTTAATGTAGTTATCATTCACATATTTTTCCACAAAATTTGACAGAGCTATCAAAAATTTATTATATATATTTTTTATACAAATCTTCCTAATCTTCAAACTATATTTTTGTTAAATATTTTTTCGCTTAATAACCAATATTCAATGTACTTTTTAACAAAATATGAGCTTCGACTCGCAAAAATTAGTTTTTTTTTGCTCCCAATCGCTAAATGTGCCTTAGTCACAGGAACTACTTCATTAGAGATAAACGATTACGGTATTATACACATTTACCAGAATAAATTACATCTTTTGTTATAAAAATGGTGGTCATTATACACTAAACACCAACAACTACTATTTTCGAGCATACTTTTTCACTTTTTCAATGGTTCGGTTTTAAAAAGAAATATATGGATTTATATAAGGCAAGCTACTTAATTTTTTATTAAATTAGACTACTTACAACACTTATGCCTGGTTTCTGAGTCCATACTTAGGTTGTTCCCAAATACAATCTTAGCTAAGAATTGTTGGAGACTTAGTAATCGCTTGCGTTTCACTGTCAATGCTTAATTTCTATAAATTTTATTATGATATATCACAACGTTTTGGCAACATATGTTTTAGAAATGTCATTCAAAAAATATGTTTGAAATATTGAAATTATAACAGACAATACATAAATTTGTGAGGAAAGTTATATCGAAAATGAATGAAAACAACAAAGTAACCCCGAAAGTATGAAACGTAAAACATTATTTTCCTGTTTTATCTTAAGCGCAACTTAAGTATGGATTGTGAAACCGGGCTAAAGTAGTTAAAAGATACCATAATATGTTTAGAGATTTTTGGATCAATAAATTTAAAAGTTTTAGCAGAAAAAATGCTGCAAAATTCACTTTTTCTGCCTTCTAAATGTATATGACCCCGTAAAAGCAATATTTAAACGATTTATATGAGACAAGAAGCCTACGATTCTTTACTATAATAAAAATTCTTAAACTAACAAATTTCAACTTTAAAGTTCAAAGTAGAAAAAAGCTTGATATCGCCTTAGCGGGCATTTTTGATAGTTCCTTCTGAGTCAAATATCATCAACAGTTTAATAAATACAATAACAAAAGTTCAAAGGTTCAGAAATGTATGTTAAAAACTTCAAGTAAACAGAGAAAAATCTCAACACGATTTTTAGTTTTCTATCGATTGGTCATCGTGCTTTCTATTAAATTTGCAGAGCAGAAATGTTGTTTTATTCTATTTATATTAATATTAATTAACTTATACTCATATTCGAAAAAGCACATAGTACACTTAGTATTACTAATATGCAGAATTCGAATTTTAAAAATTTTACCATTTTCTAAATTGAAACTGCTGAAAACTTAAAATATTGCGATTGCTTTTATTTATTTGAAAGCTATAAGTTAGCTTTTTAGGCGTATGTCGTCACCTAAAATGCGAAATAACGTATCATCAAAAAATTCGAAATTGCTTATCCTATTGATAACGATTCACTACTTCAAATTACATACATAATATTGCATATGTCCAACATTTTTAGGTTCTGCGCTCATATATGATTAAAAATATTAAAAATTTTTTTCACTCTTGTTCCATTTTATATCGTGTTTCATTCACGCCTCTGTAAATTTTCGAAAATGTTGTTACATTATTTTGCATTTTAGGTGACGATATGCCTCTCCTACCACACTAACTTAGAAAATATTTTTCGAACATGTTTATATTTTCTGAAACTGATAGAAATAGCTAATTTATCTATAACTATTTAAAACATGGACGGATTCCATAATCAGTCCATCGAAGGGATACAACAAAATTCACTGAAGCAACTGAAGGCGATCTCGAAAAGTGCTTAGGAAAAGGTTTTCGAGGACTGGAAAAGCCGTTGGCATAAGTGTATTACATCTAGTGGGGATTACTTGGAAAGCGACAAAATAAATATTGATGAATAATGAACTACTACTATTTTTTTTGTCACAATGTATATATTGTTTAAAAACAGAAGCTTAATTAAAAATATTCGGATATCACTGAACTCGCCATCCAATCATCTTGGCTTAAACATTAAATTCGTAACCAAAAATCGGATTTGGAAATTAAAAAAAAAATAATAATTTTTAAGCAAAAAATTGGAATTAAAATTAAAAAACTAGCTTTGAAATTGTTAAAAAATTCGCAACTCTGCCAAAAACTACTCTTATGGAGGACTATTATTCTTCCTTCACATTTCATACAACACTTGACCATTAGAACACATATTACTCATAAACGCTATATTGTAGAATTTTCAAAATGCGACTCACCCAGCGGCGGCATGCTGTTGCAGCTCCACAAATGCCGATTTGCCCGGTATTTGTGCGCCTGGTGTGCCCGTTGTTGTTGTACCGCCATCCATATATTTGGGTGTGTGCGGTGCATCGGGTGCATCCATGCCGGATTGTGGTGTGCTGGGAGGCCCCTCATAGGGGCTCCCTAAATCGGTGAAGTTAAGCGTGTTGGCGCCTATCGAGGCCACTTTATCAAGAATTTTGACGGCTTTTTAGTGGACGCGTGCACAAAGTGAAAATACACACACACACACTAGTTATTGAGTAATATAAATTGGGTGTTTTGGAAATATTAAAATTTTACAAATATTTTTTTTTAATTAAATTTTTTTTTTTAATAATAAAATTAAAAAAATGTATTTTCGAAAAATCACTTTTTGCAGAAACACGCAGCAAATGGTGTGGTTTTCGTTTTTTTTTTAAGTGACTTTTGTTATTGTTATTATATTTTGCCAGCTAAATATCTTATCTTATTGCATGCTAAAGCACGCACTTGTCAACTTAAATGCAGTAATAGATACTTTCAACAACGAATTTTTAATTGCAACAACAATGCCACAACACACACTAACTGCTGCTGCTGTTGCTCTCTGGTAGTAGTAGACTGCACTTTTAATTAGCGTATAATTTGTGTCATTTTTCTTTTCGCACTGCAATTAGCGATTTTCCACGCGACGACGATCATGGATGATGCTCTGCAACGAAAGTTTCTTGCCGCTTATATATATATGTATATATAATTAAATATATATATAACATATATCTATATTTGTATATACATATGTATATGTTATGTATAGTTTAGCATGCGTGCTTTGTTTTTGGTTTTGCTACTAGTTGGCGTGGGTGTTGCCTACCTTGGGCGGGTGGAAAGCGCCGATACTTAATTTCGACCGCACACGTGAGTTGTTCGACAGCGTTTTAATTGTTGCTGTTTCAAATTTTTAATATCTTTTTTGAATGGCTTTCAGAAATTGGTATTTTCGATCGCAAGCTGAGCTAAGCACTTGGTGAATGAACTGAAGACAACACAGGGTTTTGGATTTTTGGTGGAAAGATAGTAAAGTTACTTGTATATATTAATATATAAGTATTATAGAAGCTGTTTTGAGGTTTGTTTAAGTAAGCGCTTAGCACTGATTTGAATTTAACTGCTGTTTAACGCATAATCTTGACAAATTTTCATTATTTTCATTTACGTCTTTGCACACAAATCACTTAAAGTGAACAAATTACTTGCAGTATTTGAATACTTTTTTGAAATATTTTGTATTTTTTGGTACTTATTAGTTTCTTGTTTTGAAAAAATTAATTTTTTAACACTGATTTGTTTTTGTATTTAATATTTTAGTGTAAGTTTTTAGTAAGTTTCTGTTTTCATTAAATTTTATTTTGCAACACTTTCTTGTTTTTGTAATTTTTATTAAATTTTAGTACCGTATTTAGTATAACCAATGTTATTTTTTATTAAAAAACTAATCATATAAGTAAAACTCAAATCGGTTTGCTTTTATCCGTCCCTCGAAAAGCACTTTAGTCAACTGAATCACGCAAATTAGAGATTTTCCAAGCAAACCATCTAGTTTCGCGCGCAACCGTTAGTTTTTTCTTATTCGGTAAAATCGTTTTTTTTTTTACTATCCAATTGTACACAATTTAATTTCGTTCATATTTTAAATACATGTTTCATTTCAAAAACAATAAAATAAATTAATTTGTTGCACCACCGACGAAAATCGCGCGTATTGGCAACGTTAAGACGACGGCGTTTACACACGTCCAAAGCGCGTTTTGAATTTTTGCGAGTTAAACACCAAACCAAACCACACACAGTAAATTCACCCGTCGATTCGAGACACTGCGAACGATTTGTACGCGCGACCAACCACAAACAAAGTGCGTGAACGACTAGGTACGAGTTGATTATGTGATCATTTGCTGCGCCGCAAAAATGCTCGCGTACACAAACTACTACCGTTGCCGCTCCGTTTGCTGCTATTGCTACTTTTGCTCGCTCCAACCCGATGCGAAGGCGATGACGATGACGACGACGACGACAACGGCAACGCCAACGACGCCTGTCAGTCCGAAAGCCAGTTAGTTAGCCAACAACGAGCCGGAAGACCGGCTAAGCAACGCTTCGCTATACTGCTTTCATTTGCTGCGCGCTGCACATATTTTGTCGCTTGTCGCTGTCGCGTGTGCAAGTGAGCCGACCGAACTGCTAATATGCCAAATGCTTGTAAGTAAGTGCGAATAAACTAACTGGCTTTGGGTACTGGAAAAACCAGTTAGAAAATATTCCAGTTATATGCACCGACCACGCGAATACCCTCGAGAGCATACGAGGTGTGTGAGTGCGAACGCAGCACGTTGCACTTATTGCCTGCTCATTTTGGCAGCTCGCCAATCGGACAGCGCTTTTTGCGCTGCGCCGCTCGTTGGAATATGCATTGAGATTGCGTTAGTAATGGGTGGAAGGAGCGCGCATAGTTAAAGAGTGGTGTTTAGTGTGCTCGCTTGCGCTACCGTTAAGCGAACCGATTCTTTACGTCATGGCGCATGTGCTGCGTGTGCCTCTAGGTGCTCTTTCTAACATTTAATGCATATGGTATGCGCTCTCTTTGTTTCATGAATGAGATTTTGTCTTTTTATGTATCGCCCTTTTCAGCAAACACTCACTCACTTGCTGTTATTGCTATTTGGCATGGGCGCTTGTAAGCTTGTTGTACCTTGCTTGCGTGCGCTTGTTGTTTTTGTTGCCATTGTCGTTTTTGCTGACATTCTTTTTTTTGTTATCGCTGTTGTTGTTGTTTTTGTTGTCGTTGTTTCTGGTTTGTTGCTTTTATTGTTGGCTTTGCTCGTCTCTGCCGAGTTGTGTGCGCTTATTGTTGAGGCGGAGTTTTGTAATCAGTTGCTCTGCACCGTCCCTCTTATCCACATGCCCCATGTGCAGGCCCCAACCTGTCGTTTTCCCTTCCCCATTTCACCTCTCACATTTTGCAAAGGCTCACCCCTGTTGCTACTTCTCTCACCATTCCAGTCAAAGTCGCTCTAGCACCCATCCACACCACTGGCTTTGCGTCGTCACAATTTGCTGTTGCTTTATTTTATTTATATTTTTTTATTTATTATTATTATTTTTTTGTACTTAAAACACCAAACACAGCTTTGTTGTTGCATTGCCGTTTTGGCTTTCGGATTTTGCTCTCAACTCGTCGACGTTTGGCCTTTTTATTGCGAACTTATGCAAATTTGGCGTGAATATTTACGCGATTGACTTCAAAGTTTTGACTGCAAGCAAAAATATTGTGACAAAATGGGGGAATATGTAATGGAAAAAGCAAAAAAAAAAAAAAAAATAACTAAAATCAGGAATATGTTTGACTGCGTGTGTTGTTAAAGTTTCAACCAAGGCAGTGGAGTTACTACAATTGTTTAATAATATTGAAAAAGACTGACCGTTTAAAAATTTATATTGTTATTTAACTATATTATTGGCTAGTTGCAGCTAAGAGTTATTGTTTGATATCTTAACTAATTGCGATTTGAACAAAATTGTTTTTTAGTCAATTTGAAACATTTGTGGTATGTCTATATAGATTTAAGGCTTTAATTTAGGTGGATGACCATCTTACTTAATTTACATTGAATTAATTCATATACCGCAGTAAAAAACTCAATTTCGAATTTTTTGATGATCCGTTGTTTTGCATTTTAGGTGAAGATATGTAAGTATGTACAATGAATAATATGTCCGGAGATTATAGTGTTGTCTTGGATAATAATCTAATCTCATAAAAAAAGTTTTCAATTTTCATTTAATTTTTGCCAATCAGTTTGTATAGCAGCTAAATCAGAATGTGGTTCAATATCGGGAATCTGAAAAAAGGAACAGCTTTTTGGGGAGCAAAAGTCAGGTACAAAATCTAATTTTGTCTATTTCGACTATTTCGCTTATACACAGAGAGACGGGCTGACGCGTCTTGCTAATTCGAGTCAGCCCGTCACACGGATCATTTATATATACTTTATAATGTCTTCGCCCTTTGCTTCTGACTGTTACACGGGCCTTGGCAAACTTAAAAAACCTCAAATTACATATGTATGCTGCCTTTGTAGTATAAAGATGTAGACTAGTCTGTTAAAAGATGTTGCGCATTTGGCGTTTAGTATGGTTTTAGGTTTAGGACCCAAACTTAATGAATAGAGTGTAAAATTGATTTTATTGGGATAGTATATATACAATTTTGCATGTTTCTATTAACATTTTACTTGTATTGGTTTTGATTATTTCTTGTTTTTGAGATACAGTCGATCTTCCAAATCCTGAATCTCAAGGGTGGGTTTGAGGCCGAAAAGAAACTGCTTTATATAAAAAGCTCCTAATGCGGAAGATTTCTTTTCATTGGTAATCTTTTTTTCGCGGCGGGTTTGAAACTCAGCGTACAACACTAGGTTGGGAAAGCTCCTTCGCCTTCTAACTTTAGCTTGCCTTCAGGCAAATGTTTTTTGACTATCCATAGTGTTTAAATGAGTTAAGTTACTTGGTCTTAAGCCGAAAGTTGTGAGCTGCTCGAGTCCTAATACAGAAGCCCATAAATAAATTGCAAATTGGGAACAGTTCCAAAAAAAACGAATGTATCCATTTACACCACAGCGAATTCTTATAATCGATTATTCATTCACTTTTCCTCTCATTTTTTACTATTTGACGACGCAAATTTACAACACTACACTACTTTTATAGAAATTGTAGTATCAAAAGTTGGTGTGATGTGGGACCTCAAAGCAAGAGGTATCTCTAGAAAGCTAAACTGCAGAAGATGTTTCCATTCTGAGCCGTTGAAATTTACAAAAAATGCGATACTTAGGTATATAGTTAAATTCCATTTTACGGACCCTCCTCACAGCCCCACATCTCCCATAACGGATATTTTCATACAAACACCCACACTATTTTGGTAATATTTCGTTAAATTCATCACTGATAAACCGGCAAAATTTCATAAAATTTATCAAGAAAATTGTGTAAAATTTATAGTTCACATTTTTTTTCAATTGTTATTTGTTTTTGATGTTTTTAGACAGTGCCAGCTCGAGGTGGCTCAATGGAAACTAATGGGATAATTGTCATTTATATACTCCTGACTTGGCTCGCAATAATTAGATCAATGTACATATAGTTCTGAGTTGCAGCTGCTGATTCTAAGAATACATCTTAAACACTCGTTTTTTCCATATTCGTTTCTCCTATATATGGACAGCCCTTACTCCAATTTCAGAAATATTATAAGCTGTGACTTTCGTACATTTTTTAAATTGTCTTTTTGCGCTTAAAAATCTTTTCTAATCTTTTATGAATTCCATGATATTATGAAACAATAATTTAATTGGTCAATAGCTAAAACTATCATAAGAGAATGTAAGCAGATAAGCTATTTGAAGATATCATCTTTGAACGCATCTCCTAAAGTCAAGCCCATATTGTGACTTCCGCCACAAACTACAGTGTGTATTCAAAATTTAAATAAGCAAAACTTAAATTCAATGCAGCACTAAATATTCCTCACATTTCATGCAAAAGATATGTGAAGCTTTAAAGTCACCTTTATCAGCGCCGACACAATTCATTTTAGAGCTGGTGGCGCCATCTGTCGGTGTCTTAAAGCCGCACACTTCTGGCGATACAAACAAATGGCTCAGCATATTGCCATAAACAATGGAAGAGAAAGGAAGAGAATGGTAAAAAAGGGCGCCAAAAGTCTGCAAGATATGAAAAGAATAATGGCAACAACAAAAACCAAACCAAAAACACCAAACTAAAAGCGCTCGCATAAACATAAAAAATATCTGCATCGAGCGAACGCAGCAGCAGTACAATAAAATTCAAGTCAAACGCAATAAAGCAACAACATGTAATATAAAACAACAAAAAGAAAACAAAAACAAAACACAAAAAATTGCAGCAAAGAGTGGAGCTGCGCACAACCGCACTTGTTGTTGCTGTGCGCTAGTGACGACAACACCTGCCGCTGGACGCGGTCGGCACAGTCGGTTTGCTTATTTACCGCCAGTAAAAGGGGGAGTACACACATAATACAACAACAAAAAGAGTTGGAGTGGAAAATAGCAATAAAAACAGCACATGTTCACCCCTCACGAAACGTGAGCGCGCATATGAATGTCGGCGCCAATACGAAGATTGACCGGGGTGTTCAGGCAAAACGAGTTTTTTCAGCAAAGCGACAAAACTACAAACTGCCTTCACAACAACAAACACACAGCAGGCTTCCAATAAG